GCAGAAATATCTCAAGTGAGGTATAACAGACAAATGAGATGTGATGGTTTCACAGCTAAAGAGGTCTGAACCTCCACTGCTCTGTTCCAAGACCATGGAGCTGTGCCCCTTCAGCCCCTTTTGAATTTCTCCTCTTAACTTCTACTTTCAGTTTCTGCCCTAATGCTTCTCCCGTCACATTTCCATATTGCCTGGGGTAAACATGTAACAAAGTTGCTCAAAATGGTTCCTGTTTGTTCAAGTCAACAGCTAAGACTCAGGAAGAAAAAAGAAAATCAATCGTATGTGAATGTATCCCTGACTGGAGAACAGTTTCTTACTTCTTAGAGACTCTGGAAATGTATTCCTTTTCTCACTATCATTAAAAGTTTATTGCATCAAAGTTGCCATGTTCTGGTGTTCTTTCCTCATGTTTTTACCCTTGATATTTGTCTTAGAAGTCTAACCTGTGCAGCTGCCAGTAACAGTCTAAACCATGTATATGAATGTCCTGCCCCAAAAACCAGGGATTTCAAATGTACAAAAGCAGTGTGAAGCCCTCAGCACAGAAGGAACTACTGTCCTGCCCTCCCTGTTTTTCAGATAAAGATTCTTGACATTTTTGAAGAATTTGGCTTCTTGGTTGTACACACACTAGTTACAGATTAGTAGTGGTAGAGAAATGAAACAGTAGATTACTAATTTTAAACTCTTTCCTAAAAACATTAGACTTTAGTAAGAATTTCTTCCAGGTAAGTCTTTGATCCATCTCTTTGAGCTTCAGGTTCTCACTCAAATACTTAAACTCTGTCCTCAGTAATAGTCTCTGCAGAAAGTTGACTTAATTTTCTGTCAAATCCTTAAAGAAAGTAAGTTTTCTGGACCATGCAATGGGACTTCTAAATCTGAAGTGTGGATAAAGGTCTTTCTGTATAATCATGAAATCTAAGGTGTTGGATGTTTTTTGATGGAAAAACAGCTACTCCTTACAGCTACCCCAAGAACTAATTCATCTATGCCAGCAAGAACAGCTGGAACAGATAGAACAGAGTTATGGTACCTGAAAAGTTTAAAAGGTAGAAAAAGTCATAACCCTGTATACCTTCCTCAACATTGTGTGTTTCCCAATTCCTCTTGCATAGGAAGTCCTCACAACAGAAACCCACATATTCAGCAGCTCTAACTTTCAGCTTCTCCCATGATATTCCTCCTCTAAAAAGTCCATTAGACATCCTATCCACCTCTGAAGAGCTCTTTACCTTGTTGCAGCTCCTCCAACCTTCTCCCTCTCAGCAGCTCCATGCCAATACCCTTCACCACTCTCTCCCCACCTCCCTAAATCCCTTCTGACTCAGGAGCATCCCTCCCACCTGAGGGCCTCATCTGCCACCCTTTTCCCCATAATCTGTTTTGAATCCAGCTCAGCTGAGCCACCGGCTCTGCTTCTGCTGTGATCAGCAAAGATGTTCAAGTGGCTCATTAGGGAACGGAGGTTTAGTGTGGTTTCTTTCTAAACTTAATATTATTATTGTAACCCAGGCCAGCTGGGGAGGGAGGATTCCTGCTCCCAAATGTGTGCACTGAGTGCAATAAAGGCTGACTGACTTCACTGAGAGCTGGACTGTTTCAGCTGTGTTTTTGAAGTCTGAGCTTCATCCTATGTAAGGATGTGAGTTTTCCCCATCTACAGAGAGGAGAGTTGTATATCCATAGCAGAAGAAATTAAAACTAAAAGCTTATTTGTTTGATGCAGAGTAGAATCACTTTAATGAGAAATAAATATTCACAGAAAAGCATTGTAGAATATCGAGAATATGCATCAGAGTGCAGGCAATTCCTTCCATAATTGTTCTTCTTCAGCTGGACAGTAAAGTGCCATTTTATAAGAAGAGAAATTACTTGGTTTATCCCACCCATTATACACATAGATGGAAAAAAGCCCAAAAGACTATGAGTAGAGGGTGAAGAAATTAAAGACGTGCTGTGTGCTCCCAGCTCCACTGCAGTGGGGTGGCAGTGATCAGGACTTCACAACATCTCCTTTGGGACCACTGCTGTAGATCAAGATTGTATCTCTCAGTTGCTGGTTATTCCTTACTCAGGGGATATTTCTGTAGGATTTAGCAGGGCCCACAGCTGCCACGGTTGTACCTGTTGTACCAGTAGGAGTAAGGGTTGCAATAGCTAGAACCATAGGATCTACCATAGCCATACAGACCCCTGTAACCAAGAGAGCCCCCATAGCCCCCCAGACCCCCATAGCCCAGGGAGGAGCCGTAGCCCCCATAGCCCCCGTAGCATCCCA